AAGAGAACATTTGACTTTTGGGGGCACATGGTACAATATACAGATCTTGTAATATAAAAACCTATACCTGAAACCTTTATGCTCATGCTGACCAATGTCAGCCCAATGAATTTAATTTAAAACATATTTTGCTTTTGGGCTGCTGGGTAAATGTGGTACAGAGGTAATCGACTTACCTCATCTTAGTGCCAGCTTCAGCCTTCTCTGCAACTCCATTACTAGCAGTTCACCAAATGACTGCACGGGACTCAGGGCATCCAGTTATGTGACTCAAGAGTCTCATTTGCAATTACTATTAACCGGAAAATCCCCATGACTGCTCTGTGCCCACAGAGGAGAGTATCATACAATATTCACAGAAACCAAAGGGCTGGGAGGGGCTTCCGGGGAAGCCTTAGAGCTAAGCTCCTGGAGTGAGCACCCCTGGCTCCAGCCTCTCCCCCATCCTTCCTGCCCTGGAAGGCGCTAATGAGCTGTGCGGAGGCTCCAGCCTGGACCGCAGAAGGAGGTGGTATTATTTCTAGAGAATCAGGAGGGGGCCCCCAGAGGCGGCTGTGTCAGTGAGAACAGAGCAACTACAGGATTAAACAATCTTGTCAGAGCCTTTAAGATATTCAGGCTGAACACTCCAAAGGCCGCCTCTAAATTTCTAAAAACAACGCCCAGGTCTTTAGTGCTCACTTGGCTGCCTGCTGTGTGGTATCAGGCAGAGTTAGTGAAAGCCCCAGCCCATCGGGCTTCCAAAGGCTTTTCCATAAATGTAGGGGCAATGTTTGGCTTGGCCACACTTTTCTTCTTGTCTCCCTCCTTGGATGATCCTCCTCCTTCTCCATGCACCCCCCCCCCCCCCACACACACACACACACACACACTCACCCCTTCCATCCCCACCTTCATCCACATAGGCTGGTCTTAGAATGAAAGGCATGTGATTGCTTCAAGTAATGGTACTGAAAATGCCCTAATTTTCTATTTAGTATCTGTCAGGCACTTAGAGCCATTATTGTCCCATAAGTCCCTCCCACCATTGTGTGTGTCTGTGGGTAACCCCAAGGTTAACGTTACAATAGAGAAGGGCTCTGGGGAGGCTGAATAGAGGCGTGAATACCCTCCCAGTAGAAGTGGGGAGGTTAAGCCCTCACATCTGGATGCTGGGGAGGCCACGGGGGGGGGGGGGTGTGTGGATGTCTCAGCAATGATGCTTTGTTTCTCAGAAAGCATCTTACTGGTCTTCTTTCAAGAGCTGGTTTCTCGGGGGGCTGTGGTAAAGAGGAGGAAGTTGCCCAGTCGGCCTGGGCTCAGCTACTATCTGCTTGGGAAGGGCTGTGGACCCACCCCGAGGGGCTGTGCCGCCACTACAGATCCTTCCCGGAGAAGCCTGGGTTCAGGAACTCGGAAGCCTGCGTCCAGTCCACCCCTCCAAGGGCACCCTCAGAGATGGGGAGGAAGAGGGAGGGCAGCCCAGGGCAGGCTTTATAGAAGCAGCTAGGGCGGACCGGAGAGGAGCTAGGAGAGAAAGGCACTTTGGGTTTGGAAACAAGAAAAAGACATGAGGGAGAAAGGAGTGATGAATCCACAGAGTCAGAGGCCGCACTGGTGCCAGCCTGGCCCACAGGCTGCACTTCAGTAACCTCTGGGAGTGAAGAAGCAGAGGGCCGCCAGCCAAGAACACTGGCTCTTGGCGTTGGTCACTTTCATAGTGTAGGAAGGAGAAGTGGGGGCATCGTCTGTGCAAGGAGCCCTCCCTACAGGCAGAGACAGACAGACAGACAGGCAGGCAGTGTGGTTTGCTCTCCACAGAGGCAGCTCTGCTATAGATCCTCCCCCTGCCTGGGACTTGCTTAAAGCAGAGGCCCCTCATTCTAGATCAGCTACATTACACATCTCTTTTCATTAGGGTGGGATGAAGGGGCTTCATGACTTCAACTACGATGTCTGCATTCCTGGGAAGTCTTCTGCCTTCCATTTAAACGGAAAGATACCAGCTTTGAAGGAATCCCAGGTAACTAAGTAGTCGCCATAATAAGATTGAGAACGAAGGTGACCTATACAAGCACATTTTCCTCTGCTCAGAAAGGGAATTTTTACTATAACTCAGCACTTGCCTCAGGTCCTACAATACTGTCGGCATCATCAGGAAATCCCAGGGAAAGGACGAAGTGCAAACATGTTTCCACAAAAGAAAACAAAGCAAAAAAAAAAAAAAAAAAAAAAACAGTCCCCCCAGCCCTCTCAGGTAGCTGCGTGCCACCGAGAACACTGAAAGTAAGGTTGCAGTCTGTGTCCTTACTCACCCACCCAGGTGCCAGCGTCCTACAGAGTGTGGGAAGCACCACAGATCAATAGCTATTTTGGGTGAACATTGCCACAGCTTTTTTTTCTTTGAAAGAATTTTCCCCCATATGGATCACAGCTTATTATATTTCTGTGGTCTGTCTATGGAAATGATGCTTATAAGGAGCACTTTGCTTTTGAGGTTTTATGTGTTTTTTAATGTAAGTGATGGCAGCAGCAATGCTTCTGTGGAACTGGTCCTTTAAAAGCTCTGCAAATGACGGTCAGCCCTCAGGATTGAGAAGCAGGCAGGATTTACCCTGTGCACCACCTGGCTGATGGGGGAGCACCCTCAGCGGTGCCCCAGCCCGGCACCGCCTCTGTGCATCACGTTTGCTCTGCTGCACCTTCTGGGTGCATGCGCGGCACTCAACTTGCTTTGCTACCTGCAGTGAAGCTTGGAGCCAACCTCTTAAGTAGTTTTTATGAAAAGTGGAAAACCAAACGAGAATGTATTTGAAAAAGTGAGCCATGGAAAATAGCCTCTAAAAGCATACATCACAAGTCTTTATATTACTGCTTATAGCGTTTCTAAGTTGGCCAAAGGCTTTAAGTGACAACTTTTGAAGGTCCTAATAAATCCTTACACAGTATGTGCAATAACATATTTTTTTTGAAGGAGAGTGTTATAAAGCACATCCAGCTCTAGTATCTCCTTTCAGCCTCACAGAGCCATGGAGGAGGCAGATAGGCATTTGTATGTTCATTTTAAAAGGCTCTGAAAAGTTGAGGCTTGAGGTCACAGAGCTCATCAGAGCTGACCATGACCTCCAACCTGACTCTGGACTCCTGGACTCAGGCAGCAGAATTACTTGTCAATATCCAGGCACACATCACCGAAAAGTACACAAAATGCACTGCACCCACCCCACACCAAGACCTGAACGCCCCTCTGCCCCTTCATCATCAGCAGTAGTCAATGAGCCATAGGAATCCAAACTTTGGGAATGCTAAATCTCATGAACAATTTTCAAATATATTGAAATGCAAAACAGGAGTAAACAAAATGTCTTGCCACAGGGAACTAACTAATGTAAAGTGACAAAATAATGGGAGTTTGAATATGGTCTCCAAAGTGGCCATGAAATGGAATTCAGAATCACATGTTAATATGTACACCATACACTTGCTTTGTCAAGGATGACTAGTGGTGAATTCTCATTTATAAAACTAAGCCATAAAAGGAATAGTGAAATGAGGAGAAAGAGAGAGAAAGCAAGAGAGAGCAAGGGGACAGGAGAGGGAGAGGTTGCGTCAGATGGTCACAGCTTGGGGTACCCCAAAACACCAGTTCATCATAGGGGTCAGAGCAACCCATCCCCCCTCCACCAAAGAGTGGCGCTGACAATGGCCCCAGAGGCTCTGGGCAGCTGTCCCAGTTGGGGACTTGCAGAAATTGGGGGCAGGTGTTGGAGGCACCCACCAGCGTTGACTGGCAGTGATCCTACTCAGAAGAGTCTAACTCTTTCCAGGAGTTTACAAAGTGATGAGCAACAAGCAACTCCCTTCCTGATCTATCCCCATAGCGATTATTCCAGCACATTCTTCCTTCAGAGGTGCCCCTCTCCCCTGTCTCTCAGCCCTGGGCATAGGGAGGACAGGAAAGCAACTCTCAGTGAGTCCATCATTTATTTTAGCACAGAGGTATGATGGCTGTTTCATATTTCGGGAGTTCAACTACCCCCAATCCCCCACCCCTCCACTACTGCCCTGCGCTCCCATATTCCTAGCTAGTGGCTCTTGATTCATTTGCCCATCACTCTCGGCCGGGATGTGGTGCGGTCCTGCAGGATCCCATATTTTGGCTGTTCTTCTAAAGAGCATTGACCTGGAGGCACAAATGCAGAGGCAGCGGCGCCAGGCGCGCAGCCGGGCGGCCGCAGGCAGCACGGCACCCGCAGCTGCGGTGACTCAGACAGCGGCTAGGAGCCGGTCTCATTACTGTGCAGCTGAAGCAAGCCTGCCTCCTCCTATCCCAGTCCCGGGTGCAAAAGGGCGGGGGGGGGGGGGGGGGTATCTAGCTCACAGGAAGCAAAATACAAACTCCTGACTCTCCTCTCTCTCTCTCTCTCTCTCTCTCTCTCTCTCTCTCTCTCTCTCTCTCTCTCTCTCTCTCTCTTCTCTCTCTCTCTTTTATTCACACATATGCCCATTCTCACTCACTCTGAGCACAAGGAAAATAGAGCCCTCCTTGCCGACCCCCAGGTCCCTGTCTGGGTGCTTCTGCCCCGTTACTTCAGTGGCAGCCCGAGGGGGCTTCCAAAATGCATGCTCTTGCCTGCTTTTGCCAAGACATGGGACAGGCTGCAATTTGGGTAACTTTCCAGCCCTGTCTACTGAACATTTGTCTACAAACATCTTAGAGAGGGGGGACGGGACGCCCCCTAATCCCTCCGCTACTTCCACTTCTGACCCCCATCAAACTCTTGGGCTGACGCTCGGGGGAAAGAAACTAGGCCTTCACTCCAGCTGCCCTGGCCAGTCAGCGGGGGAAGCAAACTGCCACGAAGGCACCCAGCCACGCAGAGAGCCAGGGTGAGCGCTGAGTCCCAAGCACGGTCCTGGCGCCCGCAAACCGGCCTGGGCCCGGAGCTCCGTGCATGCGCGGGAGGGGAGGGGACTTGAACCCCAGCGGCGTGAACATCAAACCGCGGAGAGCAGCTCACCTTCAGGTTGTGCGTGGGGTTGACGACGCAGACAAGTTGGCCCGCGGCGGAGAACACCCGCTTCGCCTTGTAGTGCTGAAAGCGCAGGTGAATGAGATCTAACACGGCCCCAAAGCACTGGGTGAAGAAGAGCATCCCAACTTTTGGGGGGTCGTTGGCGAGGGGAGGCAGCGCCGCCGCTGCGGGTCCTTGGGCTCTGGAAGGAGCGCAGCCGCCGAGACAGACACTCCGCTCCAGACCGGCTAAGCGAGCCTTCATATTCATCATCCAAACAAGATGGTTAGAATCCTGCCGCAGCGAGGCGGCCAATCACAAGGACAGAAGTGTTATCCTTGAGGTGCGGAGACAGCCAATAACAAATGCCTCCCCGACTGGAACTCCCCGATGAATCGAGCCTGGCGGAGAATGTATTATTGAACATTACCATAGATCAGCACATTGCATTTATCTTGTGATTACAGCCAGCCATACATAATGCTGGGGAGATCGGCTGACAAAATTGATTGCTTAATGTGTCTCCATTTATTAATTGACTTAATTTAACATGAGAGCCTTTCTTAATGGGCTGGGGAAAACGTAGAGCGTTTCAGCATCTAAATAGTAAAACAGCCTGCTCCAAAGTAGGCAGATGGATAACGCTGGTCGTGGCTCCACTCACCAGAGCTGCTTGGGGGAAAAAAAAAATCAAATATTACAAGACTCCTCTGATTCCAGATAAGGGTTTGGCAGGGGAAGAAGCATACATCTTTTAATCTTGCGTTCTGATCCTCTCTGCAATGTGGGTTTCAGCCCCTTGAAAAAAAACTCTTACTCTCCACTCTTTATAAAAAGGAAAGAAAAAAAGAATTCCACACAAGGAAAACAGTGTGTGTGTGTGTGTGTGTGTGTGTGTGTGTGTGTGTGTATTATTGTAATTACTGAAGCCTGAAGATATTAAAGCATAAAAATGCACTGAGTATGCTTCTAAAAATAATGAAATCCCTGATGCATGAATGCACACCACAGAAAACCTACACAAAGAGGAAAGTGGCTTGTAAATCAGCAAAATAATTACAGATGCAGAGGGTCTTTGCTTGTCATTCATTTGCATACTGGTGGGCAGCCAGTTGCTAATTAACCACTAAATTGCTGGATACGTTAAAATAGAAAGTAAGAGCACATATACCACATCATTTGCGTGTGCCTGCGGATGCACGCTTCTGTGCCGAGCAGGCAGAGGGCATTCTAGTCCTCACACTGCATTCCTCTCTCTTCCCAATAGGGTTGGGGGGGTGGTGTGGTGTGAAGTGGGGGAGGGTGCGGGGAAAAGGTGCAGGTGGGGGGGGGGAGAGAAGATGCGGGGGTGAGGTGGTGGTGGGGGAATAAGCCCACTTGCAGATTCTGGAAGAAAGAGTAGCACCGGAGGAGTTATAGTTTCAGGGAATAGGCAGCCTTCCCGACTACAGCAGGAGAGTTGAATGTTGTATCTCCCCTCTTCTTTGGTTGTTTTTCTATTAAAAGTCAGCCCAAATCCCGTGTGCCTGGGTGAGCATGGCCTTGTGCCGGAATTGCATCCAGAGTTGTGAGCCCATTGCTCCTTCCGGAATGGCTCTCACTCTGCGCTGGCTATGGAGCATGGGTTGTAATATATGAGAGTGTTCTAGTACATACATGTGGAACACCTATTCTGTGACCTGGTCAGGCAATTACATCAACAACACATTAAGATATAGGGAACAAATGAACAGATTTACTGAAACCAGCTCGAAGCCCAGGTATTAGTTTTAGTTTAATTTTTAAACCAAACCAAATGTCTTAAGAGACAAATAAGCCAACCCCACGCACAACCAATTAAAATGGAAACCTGGTACTTTCTAAAATAATTGCACTGGACAAACCTAGAAGATGACAATTTTTTAACTGATTAGGGTGTGATCACTATGATATGTTTATAAGATATGAGTCCCTGCACCTAGTCACTAAACAGTTTGTAAACAAGGCTGCTGACCCACAATACCTGCATCTCTCTCTAAAGCTGTTATTTTCCAGACCAATCAGTATTTTAGTGTTCAGCTGGAAGAAAAAAATTCAACATTTTTAATTGCCTTACTTTTTTTAAGAGATACAAGTAAAATTACAACTTCATAGATTTCTTAAATAATATTTATAAAGGTCCAGACTTCCCTTTTCTCCATCCTTTGTTAGAACGGAACTATTGTGTTTTTGTTTCTCCATTTGTGCAGCCTTAGACAGGTTTCTTAACCCTTTTAAAACTCGGTTTCCACACATATCACAAGAGAATAATATAAATTTGGGTTTTTTTTTTTAAGGTCATTGTGAAGACTAAGATGATGTATCAAGAAATAGCCAGCACAGTGCCTTGAAATAACTTGAGTCCAATGAGCATCTTGGTGGAAAGGTGATTATCTGGTAGTATGTTTTTTTCTTTTTGCTACATGAAATATTTCCCCCCACTGATATTCATGCTGTCATCCAGGGTCATGACAAGAGTGAACTTGACTCCTGCTATTTTCTAAAGGGTTCGTGTTCCTGATATATCACCTAGAGACCTGGCCTGGGAGTGAGGCTGAGGGGCTAAGGAGTGCCTATTGACATCCGTGGTAAGAATAATGCTATAGACCTGCTTTTGTGGTTTTGTTACCTTGGTCTCAGACTTGACTCCTTGCTCTAACTCTGTATTCAAAACTGCTCTATGTTAGTTTCTTTAAAAAAAAAAATAGTTTATTATTTGGATTTACTGAGATGACACTGGTTTAAAAAAACCATACAAGTTTCAAGTGTACAACTCAATGAAACATCAGCTGCCTGCTGCATCCTGTGTCCATTGACCCCAAGCAAAGTCTCTTTCACCCCCATTCCCCATCTCTTTGCCCACCTCTACTTAGCCCCCACCCTTTTCCCTCGGTCTATCACTTACTGCTGTCTCGGTCTATGTTTAATACATATGCTTTTTGGCTACTCTCTTCACTTTCTTTCATCCAGTCCTGCCCTCTGATAGCAGTCAGTCTGTTCCATGTATCCTTGGCTCTGTTTCTATTTTGTTTGTCATTTATTTTGTTCATTAAATTCCATATTTAAGTGAGATCATATGGTATTTGTCTTTCTCTGACTGGCTTATTTTACTCAGTATAATAATCTCCAGTTCCATCCATGTTGTCCCAAAGAGTAAGATTTCCTTCATTTTTACAGCCAAGTAGTATTGTGAAAATGTACAACAGTTTTTTCATTCATTCATCTGCTGATGGGCACTTGGGCTGTTTCCAGATCTTAGCTATTGTAAATTATGCTGCTGTGACATAGGGGTGCATATATTCTTTCTGATTGGTATTTCAGGATTTGTAGGATATATTCCCAGAAGTGGGATCACTGGGTCAAATGGCAGTTCCATATGTAATTTTTTGAGGAAACCTGACACTGTTTTCCACAGCAGCTGCATCAGTCTGTATTCCCACCAGCAGTGCACTAGTGTTCCCTTCCCTCCACATCCTCACTAGCACTTGTTGTTTGTTGATTTGTTGATGATAGCCATTCTTGCAGGTGTGAGGTGATACCTCATTGTCCTTTAAATTTGTATCTCTCTAATGATTAGTGATGTTGAGCATTTTTTCTTATGTCTATTGGCCATCTGTATGTTCTCTTTGGAAAAGTGTCTATTCAGGTCTTTCACCCATTTTTTAATTGGGTTGTTTGTCTTCCTGGTGTCGCATTGCATAAGTTATTTATGTATTTTGGAAATAAATCCCTTATCAGATGTACGATTGGCAAATATGTTCTCCCATTCATTGGTAATTCCATTTTCACTTTGTTGATGTTTCCTTTACTGTGAAAAAGCTTTTTAGTTTGATTTAGTCTCATTTGTTTAGTTTTTCTTTTGTTTCCCTTGCCTGAGGAAATATGAGCAAAAATATTGCTATGATAAATGTCTGAGTTTTTACTGCTTATGTTGTCTTCTAGGATTTTTATTCTTGTATAAGGTGTAAGCTGATGGCCTAGTTTCCTTTTTTGCATGTACCTGTCCAATTTTTCCAACACCATAGAAGCATGAACAGACTGTTGAACCCCAGAGGGAAGACAGGGGAGGATGGGTGAGAAGAGACCAATGAACTTGTATGTATATATGCATAACCTGTGGACACCTACAATAGGATGGTAAGGGCCTGGGAGGGGGGTGAGGACAGGAGTGTGCTGAAAGAGGTTAATGGGGGGAAAAGGAAAACGTATATAATATTTTAAATAATAAAGATAAAAAAAACCTAAAACACCAGAATAAAAATAAAAAGACTGATAATTGGCATGGAGAAAAAAGATTTTCTTTATATATTTGGGTGCTTCTATGTTGGATACATAGATATTTACAAAAGTTATATCCTTTTTTAAAAAATATTGATTTTAAAGAGAGGAAGGGAGATGATGATGATGATGATAGATAGATAGATAGATAGATAGATAGATAGAAAGATATTGATGTGAGAAAGAAACATCAATAAGCTGCCCCCTACATGCACCCCAACTGGGTATTGAACCCCCAAGCAGAGTATGTGCCCTGACCAGGAATTGAATCTGCCACCTTTGGTGTATAGGACAACACTCCAATCAACTGGGCCACACTGGCAAGGGAAAAGGTTATATCCTCTTGTTGGATTGATTTGTTTATTGTTTTGTAATGAATAAATATCGCTACCACAGGTTCTTTTTTGTTTGCTTCCATTTGCATGAAATATTTTTTCATCACTTTACTTTCATTCTGTGTATATCTTTTTGTTCTGAGATGGGTTTCTTGTAGACAGCACATATATGGGTCATGTTTTATTATCCATTCAGCTACCCTATGTCTTTTGATTAGACCATATAATTTGTTTACATTTTTTAAAAAATATATTTTATTGATTTTGTACAGAGAGGAAGGGAAAGAGATAGAGAGCCAGAAACATCGATGAGAGAGAGTCATCGATCAGCTGCCTCCCGCACACCCCCCACCGGGGACATGCCTGCAACCAAGGTACATGCCCCTGACCAGAATCGAACCTGGGTCCCTTCAGTCCCCAAGCCGACGCTCTATCCATTGAGCCAAACCGGTCTCGGCTAATTTGTTTACATTTAAGACTATTATTTGTAGGTACTTATTAACTGACATTTTATTATTTATATCTATGTTGCTCTCCTCCTCCTCTCTCTCTCTCCCTCTCTCTCTTTATTCTTAAAGCAAACCCTTTAGCATTTCTTTCAATACTGGTTTACTGGTAATAAACTCCTTTAGACTTTTTTGG